ATGACAGAATTTATTCTGTTGATGAATCTGTAACTTGGGCAGCTGTGAGCAGGACAGTTTGTCTCTGTTCCACAGCTTGCAGGTTAGGGGCTGGAATTATCTGAAGACTTATTCACTTACACACCTGGCCGGCGAAGCTGCCTCTCAGCAGAGACCTTCCCTGGAGCCGTGGCTACAACATCTCTACATGGCCCTCCCATGTAGTTGCTTGACTTCTTAGCAGTGTGGCGTCTGGGTTGCAAGGATGGGTCCAGATGGAAAGCCAGACAGAAGCTATGTCGCTGCATCACTTATGCTGCGTTCTCTGTGAGGAGCTACCATTAAGGCCAACACATATTCAAATGGAGGGGAGTTTGACTCACCTTTTTATGGGAGACATGCCAAAAAATTTGTGAACATGTTCTAAAACCATCCTCCCACCTATGAAGAATTCTATTGAAAGTTGAACCTGAATCTGATGAAATCTCTAGGCCTAGCTGCAGTTTATAGGAAATGCAGGGGGAAAGAGGAATGTGTTAAATAACAAAATAGAGGAATAATAAGCAAAATTCAGAAAGTGGCAAGTTTCTACAGGGTATGGAACCTGGTTTCTTATAAAGGAGGACAGATTTATCAAGTAAAATGCTCAACAAATTGCAGTGTGTAGACATTTCTTGGCTCTTGATTGAACAAACTGAACATTTTTTACAGCTGTTTGAGCATTGACTAGATACTTGATTTAATTACTATATAATTATTTTTATTAGGAGGGTTTATAATGTTACTATGGCTGTGTTTTTAAAGAGACTTCTCTTTCAGAGCTACACGTTGTCATCTTTATAGGTGTGATGTCTCAGATTTGCTACAAAGTGCAGCGTTGAGGGATGGGTATATAGAAAATGAGAATTGATTAGTACTGAAGCTGGATGATGGGTATGTTGGGGTTCAGTCTACTGTTATCTCTATAAATGATTGAACTTTTCATAATGGGAGATTTTTAAAAACTCATAATGAAACCTATATTGCCTTTGAATTTTGGGTTGTTTCAAAGATAAGAAATGAAGCACACACCATACTTTTATATCTGTTGGTATTCATTTGCAGTATGCAAAATTTGTCTAAGTGCAACTTCCTTCACATATCTGGAGAATGAATGAAACTGCAGTAGTTTAAATGTCAGTCAACTAAGTTAAAACTAAAATATCACTTTTTTTCCATTAAGTAAAAACTACACTGTGTAAGTCTAAATTTCATCATAGAATACTTTAATGTTACTTTCTCTTTGTGTTTTATCTGCGCCAGAGTCTCACCTTCACCTGTTTGCCATCTTCTTTTTTATTTTCAGGCCAAATGTAGGAATTACTTGTCTTGGACTTTTCTTTTCTTTTTTTTTTCCTTTTTTAAATTTTTATTTTATTGATTATGCTATTACAGTTGTTCTATTCCCCCCCTTCATTCCCCTCCACCCCCACCTGATAACAACAAAATTTGTCTTTAGTCCCCATTTAGTATGACATTTTTTCCATTTACTTTCTTATCAGATATTTTGGCTTAAGCGAATCATAAGCTAATACAGATTTAATTCTAAATTCTTTTCTCTATTTCATCTTTACTGAAGTTACTACCATTTCTCTTTATTACATGAAAATGAAAAGTCACTATTTTTCAAAATCTGTAGAGTTGTTGAGTCCAGTTTGGGTCTTTATTCTGTGATTTTTATCATTGTTTCAACATATTTGCCTTCCCAGTGGTATGTGGGTTAGACTGATGCTCAAATAACTTTCCCTGTCTTGAATTAACACCAGATGCTATGGGGTTTAAAAACAAAAGCTTAGGGGTGTCATGGGTAGCAGGGAAGCTCTTTTGAAACTTAAAACATATCATGAAAAACATTATTACTATTCCTAAAACAGCTACTCACTGTACTCTTCTTTCTCTTATTTCTGATTCCTAAATATGGCATATTTTCTGGTTTGAAGCCTTTTGATATGACAATCGAGTACTTATTATAGGAAATATGTTGTTATTCAGATATATTCATCATCATCATGACCTACGTTCTTCTGTGTAACTAATTCTAAACTCAGAGCATTTTTCCTAGATGCGCATTTTCAGCTCATTTCTAACTATTTAGTGCAGCAGTTGAAAAGTACTGCTACCCTGCTAACCTCCCAGATGCACCGGTTAGGTATTCACCTCTCTTTGAGCCTGAAACTTGTCTGAATGTAAGTTCTTTGTCCAACTTCTGAAATAGCATAAACTTTTATTTCCTTTTCAGAACCTCTCTCTATCTTTCTACTTACTTATTTGATGCTGCCCTGAAAAGAGGGTATCATGAAACTTTAGAAACTGACACTTTATCATTGTGGATAGTGTGTCATTGTGAAGAAATGCTGTGTCTGCCTCATACATATTTTCAGTTGATTGGGTATTTGCTGAAAGTGGGTAATTTAAATTATCTACCTGAAATTTAATTCTTGTAGATCTTTAGTTTAAAAACTTGCAAGTGTGGGTAGCATGCATTTAAATGATACTATGAATTGGTGTGTAATATAATTTACATTTTTAGTAGTTAGGTATTAAACTCTTACTATATAGCTCGTGGGTATTTGTTACAAAGTGAATGCTGCAGTTTTTAGTACTTTCTCCCATAATCCATTCAGATTGCAGCAGCTACGTAAAATGTGGCTGCGACAGTGTGCACAGGCAATTTGCAAAGAGTAGTTAAGAGAGGACACAAAATCGTTAAGCCAAGCCATCTGAATCATGGGGCATGAGGCCTGCTTATAGACGGCTCGATTTAAGTCATCTGCTGAGGAAGAAGGGGAAACAATCTTACCTCTTGGAAGGATTAGTCTAGTTTTGACTTAGTAACTAGATTTTTCCAAGAAATTTCTCAACAATTTATTTTATTAATTACTTACCTTTCATCCTGATTATTTTGGGATATTGACTTTCTAAGGTCTTTTGCAACTTTCTGTTGTCCCATATGAATCATTTAAAAAGTGTTTGTGGTTTTTTCCTACTTGAGTGCCTTTGACATCTTTCTGTAACTTTTTTGGCTTCTATGATATATTAGATTCTTCACCGAATCTACTTCCAGGTTAGTTTTCCTCTTCTTTAGGAACTGTGGTCACTTGTCCCCAGTTGAACTCCTGTGCCTGAGTAGGGACTGTCTAGAAGGTCATCACATTAAGATTTATGGAGAGATGGGAGGTAATCTTGCTCAGATCTCTGGGTTTATTACTGACCCCCAAAAGAGGGGCCTCCTTGCTGCCAGAAACAAGATCAAATATCTGTTTCTTGGGACAGTTGCACATCAAAGGGAATTTCAAGCATAAGTCAAATGAAAAGGTAAAGATAAAATAGATTTTAATTTACTATAAAAATTAGTATCAGAAAACAGATACTTTGCAAATGACTGACATAGTTCACCCAGGAACCCAGCTAAGCCTAAAGAAAAAGTTGTAACTCCAGAAGAAGATCACAGTGAAACATAAAGCAGCTGAGGTCTCCAGAAATAGGAGGCAGTAAACCATTATAATCTGAGGTAAAACAATCATTAATGCTCTTTAAAATCTGTTTGATGGTGCCCTGTACTTCCATGTCTTAGGTAGTCTTCCTCTTCAAACTCTCACATAATTCTCTTAGTTTCCTAATTCACACCATCATCACCTAAAGCACTGGTACTCAAAGACTAAGAAAGACTTCTATTTCCGAACATCTCCTACTTGCCAGGCACTGTTCTTGGTGCCCTCACATTATCTCATCTTGACCACAAGGTCAGTATCAGTGTCCCTGCTTAACAGAGGAGACAGTCACGTATTCCAAGTTACACTGCCAGCAACTCTGCAGCATGGATTTGAACACAGGGTTTTTTTCAGGTGTGTAATTGTTCCATTTCACTTCATTATAATGTCCTTTTCTCTCTTTCCCGTAATCGCCCCTCCTCAGGCTTATTCCCACTTAGAGTTAACTCGTGTTAACTTGTGTTCCCAGCTGTAATTTCTTGCTGTACTGAGGCATTCAGGATCCCACCTGGATCCTAAATAAGAATATTATTCAGTAATATTTTCTTTGTTATTACCCTATTCAAAAAATGTAGAGTGATTGTCTTACATTTCCTCAATTGTAAATTTGACATTCAAACTCTTCCCAGACCTGCTCCACTGTTTCTTCTGTCCTGTTTTCCTGTTCGCACCTGGCAGTATTCACGGCAATAACTTTATTTCTGATGACTGATTACCGTACTGTGTTGCGTACCTGCAATACTCAGTTCCTTCTGTGCCTTCATAGCTTTTCTTCTGTTTTAGTGACCGTTTCCATTGATGTTGCATGTTCTTCCTCTTCTAAAAATCCTTGTTCAGACCTTTTGTGATTGAACCCATGTCACTGTCTACTTCTAAATGACATCCCCTCTTCCCCCACACATTCATTGTGTATTGAATTGCTATGTATTTGCTCTTTGGCTTATTGTAATTATATATTGTGTTATAAACAGCAAGTTAAATTTATAGTCTGCCCTTTTCTATTTCATGTCACATCAGACTGCTTGGTAGAATTTTTGATCCAGAAAGCATTTAAATAATACTAACTTTTTCATTTGAGGTCTACATTTTCTTTAGATAACACTAACGATGTGGTCATGTTGATATTTGCATTAAAAAGATAATTTCTTCAAAAAGTTGGTAGTAACAAGATCGCATTCTATTCCTCAAAATCAAATAGGCTAAAACAAAGCAATCCCCCACGCTAAATACATAGGCTATAATTCATTTTGCTTAAAAATTGTTGTATTCACCATGTGATGACTTTAAGCATACAGAAAACATTTTAAGTATTTTGATATTAAAGGGTATTGCATCCCTCTGTGCTGTAATAATTTCCCTTCTCTCATCCTTTTTTCCTCAGCAATAAGTTCCGCCAATGGCAAATATAGACTCGCACCTCACAGAGATGAGTTTGTGGGTAATTCTTGGCATTGTGCTAGTCAGTTTCAATTCTGTGTTTTCTTTTTTCAGGTTTCCTGAAATGCAGTTTTTCCAACAAGAAAATGTGAGAAAAATTCTTACAGATGTTCTTTTCTGTTATGCTAGAGAAAACGAGCAGTTGCTTTATAAACAGGTAATGAGAATATCGTACAGGTGGCATCCATTGACTCAAAATTTTCTATACAGCTTGACAAATGATAGAGCAATAATGTAGCCTTTATTGTATCCAGAGTCGTATCATAATAGTAAAGCAATCAAAGAGCTGCTTGTCAGCTGCATGGTGAGAAAAGTAAGCTCATTGAGGCACATATGCTTCTTCCTTATTATAAGACATTTCACCAAATTGTCTTCTATAAGGCATTCAATCTTTTCTTTCAACTTTTGGGAGTTTGTTTATAAACAACATCTTTGAAGCCAATCTAGTAATAAAACTTTTCAGAGTTGTATGTATAAATATTGTTTCTAAGTACAGGATTTATAAATATGTGACATGCTATGTAAAAAATAAAGTATCCTTTTACTCCTTAAAACTTACCAGTAATGTAACTTCAGAAAGTTCTTTTAAGTGGCTGGGGTAGAGGGACAGTGATGGGGCGAAAAGGAGACAATTGTGTCTGAACAGCAATTTTCAAAAGAGAGCAAAAGTTTTTTTTGAAATTTAAATGATATTCTTTGTGATCCTGATACTAAAGCAGAAGTTTGCTGGGTTATTTTTACTGAAATGTGAATTACTTCCTTAATGTATAAAGAAGTATCTAGGTTTCTACTGGAACTTATTGTGTTCCAATAAAATTATGTCAAGTTGAATATTTGTATATATTTCTCAAAATGTGTATTAATAGGGAATTCAGACTAAATCAATAAGTTCTCTAACAATCAAAAGTTATGGTCTATGTCCAATTGATGACCACCTAATTTCAGTGTAATATACCAGAAAACACTTGTATGGTGAGAGAAATGTATTTAAGTTGAAATAAACTTGACCAATTTAAAGATAATAAACCAAGTCATATACAATTGTCCTAAATAGTGCACTTATTATTATATACAAAGAATACCCAAGGAACTAATTTTATCTTAGCTTTAATATTAGTACTGTCTTTATATGAATTACATGACAATTACATGTAATTACATGAATTACAATTAATTATATAAATCACTGTGTAGAATAGGAAATAGAAAAATATATCCTATTCATAATGCCAACCAAAACTATAAAATACCTAGAAATAAATTTAACAATATAGGCACCAAAGCTATATGAAGAAAACTATAAATTTTATTGAAGTCTATAAAAACAGACTTGAATAAATAGGAAATTCATAACATTTTTAGATGAGGAGACATTAATTAAAAATATTCCTTCTTACCAGCTTCATGTATAAATGTATTATCCTTCCAGTGATAGTCCTAAGTGAGAAATGTGATTTTTAAAAGCTGGACGCATTTATTTTAAATTTAGTGCCAAAAAGCTTTAGTTAGTTTTAGTGGAGATCATCAAGCTCAGCTGGTTCCAAGTACTGGGTCTAGGTGCATGTCCCTTTATTTGAGTCCCACATCCACCACTAGCTGCATAGGCAATTGACTTGCTTGATTCTAATCCTTAGTTTCTTTATCTGTAAGAAGAGGGCAATAGTAGTATATGACTTTTTATTTTTAAAAACATGTAGTTCTCACTCAGTGTTCATGTGGGTAGTTATGGTGGCTACCATTATTATAATCACTATTAAGTGTGTGGAGTTGCCACAGAATTCAGGGGAGAGAAGAATGGCACAGGGAGATAGGAGACTTTTAGACGTGTTCTGTGATCAAACCAGTGTGATGGCCATGTGGGGGTCAGCAAGGAGATCAGTGGAGTAAAGTAAAAACAGGTTCAGTTGTGTATGAAATCTTAATGTTATAAGATAGGACATTTTTGTGAACTAGCTTTACTTGGCTTTCTATCTAGAAAAAAAGGTCATATTATACTTCTATTGGAAAATAAATTCAAGATGGAGTAAAGATAAAAATGTAAAAGAAAGAATTACACAAATATACTAGAAAAATTAGGAGAGTTTTTAAAAATAATCTCAGGGTAGGAAAGGCCTTCCCAAGCAAGATATCCAGAGGTCATATGCAAACTCCCAACACCAAAAATAAACACACAAATAAGCTAAAAAGAAGAGGCTGGGATAAATGAAATCTGTCAGTAGAGGATTTGGGGGGAGCCAGTAACAGAAAATCCCATTCAGAATGACTTCAACTCTAAGGACATCATGACCATACTTTGCAAAAAGAATGGTTCTATAGCATCGTTAGTTCAGTAGCTCAGATTCTACATCAATTATCCAGGTTTAGTTTTATTTTTCCATTCTCCTCTCCTCATCGTGTTTACTGTTATCATCCAGCCTGTCTCCACTGTCTTTTCTCTTCTTTCAAATACTTGAAAATACTTCACAGGAAAAGAGCAAATCAAGTCAGAATAAAATGATCCCATTACACATTTGTTTACTCTTTTTGTTTAGAGAAAGAAAAAACTAGATTAAGGAAGTCTTCAAATAATGGAAAGAAGTTCACTGGCAAGGAATGAAAATGTAGTAACTGCACACACCATCCTCTGTGATGTCTGTGGCCCACTGCATTGTCAAGGGGGACCAGAGAGGAATGTGGAAGATCAGATTCTTGATCATTTACACCAAGACTATCAACATTGAATAAGGAAGTATTAACTTACTCCTAGGAATCAGTTAGTGAGACTTAATCACTCTCTGTATATGTCTAAAACTCTATAGATTCTTTACACAGAAATAATAACGTTTCTGTAGGAGGACTGAATATTTAGCCAGATCAATTTTAAGAAAAAACCTTGAGTTTCATCACAAGCTGTTAAAGCTATTATTTTGTACTAGGTGACACCCCGTTTAACATCGACCATATTGTTAATAGTTATGGGATTTTATTGAATTAATGAGACTGTTATCATGTAGTTGAATGTCTTGCTGAGTTAATTGAAACTGCAGAGATTATATAAATGGTATTAATGAACTTTGACTGCCTGATGCCTCAGCCTTAATAAAGACTGCTTGGTGAGCTAAATGAACACAGGCAGATAAAAGAACAGGTTCAATTTTGTGAGCCTACAGGCTGTTGATGAGGAAAACTTTGTTACCTTTAGTTTCAAATGGCAGGAGCTTGGAGTGCAGTGACTACTAACGATCCAGCAGAAATGAAAGCTCTAAGCAAGCAGAAGTGCTGATGATGTGGATGGAAACGAAACATACATTTTGAAAACCAAGACGGATACTGACAATACTTTATCTTTTATTATGCTTTGTCAAATTTATAGCACATTAATGAATTTATGATCATTCTGTCTAGATAGTTCTCTTTTCCTTTAAAGATGTCTGTATACTTGCCACTTGTCATTTTTTTCCAAGTTTTACTAGTCTAGAATTGAGGGTAAAACCAACAGTGTCTTCCAAGTGTATTTAAGGAAATATTACTAGTTTAGTTGGAAAGCAACATTGAATTTGTAAAAGGTTGTCTTAAATAGTATTTAGGGAACTCTTAATTTCTGTGACAGAGAGAGCACCCTATTTATTGATGTGAAATATTAAAACCTGATACAGTGTTATTCTTTCCCATTTTTCATATTGTAGTTCACCTTTTACCAGTGTGTTGCTTTGTTGAGTGGTAAATATTTCATTTACTCGGTCACTGTTTAGTTGAACACCTTTATGTACAGAGTCTGTAACAGGAGCTGGGTTTTGTGTGTGTGTGTGTGTGTGTGTGTGTGTGTGTACATACACACATATTACTTAACACGTTTTATGATTGTATAGTCACTGCCGTGCTCATTTTATTATTGTGTGTCTTGCTGTCTAGGCTGCGTGCCTCCTAATGGTTAGGAACATGCCCACTTCATTGACTTTTGTGTTCTCGCTGCAGCATAGGTAGTTATAAATAATTTTTGAAATAAGACGAATGATACGCAAGCAAAATAGAGAATGCGGAAAGAGTAGTGGCACAGGAACTAGAGGGAAGAGAACATTTAAAGAGGTAAGAAGATGTGTTCAGCAAGAAATCTTTGTTATCAAATTAGCCATAAGTGATTAGAAAATACATTGAAGGAAAAACACTCATTTAGAATCACCACAACCACCACCAATAAAAACCTAGTAACAAACCCAATAAAAACTATGCAGTTCTATAAATTTTTTGGATTGGAAATCTGGTGTTCTAAAAATATCTGTTTTCTTCAAGTTAATTTTAATGCAATGCCAATAAAAATTGCAGTATTTGGTTTAGCATTTAAGTACTGAGGCTCCCTTGGATGAAAAAAATCAAGTTAGAATAGGCAAGATAATTTTAAGAAAACGGATAGAAAATAGGAATAGAATATTTTGCAGCTTGTCATGACAATAGTAAAGTTCTTTTTAAAATTTTGCTTATTTATTTGATTTTTTCAAGCACACACTTTAGTTGGCTCCCAGGACTCTAATAACCTGAAAAGTGAAATGGAGAAGATTCACCGTCCCCACTGAGATAGCCTTCATTTTGTGTGTGTATATACATTAAAGTTTTTACTAAGAATATTCAAACCAGTGGGATATCAGTAAAAAAATGAAGAAAATGAGAGCTAAATATTCAATTTATGGTAAAGGTGACACTTTAGAACTCTTGGCAGAAGATGGGTTATTCATTTAATGGTGATCATTCAATAAATTAGTTTAACTCTCTTGGAGAGAAAAATATATATTCTTTAGGGCAAAATTGAGTACTAGTTAGATAATAATTTACTGTAGAAAGAAAAGGAAACCATATACTTACCTGAAAGCCATCTGTGAAATTCAGTGAGGTTTTATTAAAATTGTTTTTGTTAAACTTAGGGGGGTGACATTGGTTATAAGATTATATAGGTTTCAAGTGTGCAGTTCTGTGATACATCGTCTGTATATTGCGTTGTGCCTACCACCAAAGTCAAATCTTTTTTATCACCATGTATTTGATTCCCTTTATACCATTTACTACTCCCACCCCCGTCCCCTCTGGAAGTAAGTGGTACAGAAAAAGTCAAGAAGCAGCCGATTTCACTCCCATGGGGGATATAAAACTGAAAGCAACGAATGAACAAACAAGACAAACAAAAACTTATGTGCAGTGATGGATTTTTTTTTAACACTACAAATATAAGTGAGGATTTGTGAGATGGTGATTTTATGCTTGAAAGTGAGGGAATTCTTTTTGAAGAGTAGCCTAATGGAATATGTCAGAGACTTTACCAAATGTCTTTAATCATTTACACAGAAATTCTGCTTCTAGCTACTTTAGTTTAAGGAAACAATCACAAATAGGCAAACCAAACAAAAACCCCACAAGGATATCTATCACAGTTTTTCATTTCTTTTGTTTTTTGCTCCTCCTTTCCTTTCTTCTTCTCTCTTCCTTCCTCCTTACCCATCCTTCCCTTTCTTTATCCCCTCCTCTTTCCTTTTTTTCTTTTTTTGTTTTTTCTATGTACTTTTCTACAATATGTAGTTATTACTTGGATGATTGAAATTATGGCAGTTAGTTTTTGGAATAACTTGAGATTTTTCCAGAGAACTTGTGATGATTATAAAGCATTTGTAGAAACACAGTTCCACTCTTTCTGGCTCTCTACCGTGTTCTAAAGGCTGTTCTTTCCAGAGTTTGTTTAGTAAGGACATGGATACCTAAAAAGATTGGTGTATGGTAATTTTTCCTAAATCACAACTGTCAATGGAGCATAAATTATTTTGTAAAAATGTCATCAGGTCCTTCTGATTCAAGACTAGGGATAAGTTACAGTGAACTCTGAAAGAGTTTACTTTGATATTATTTGTGATAACAACTAGTTTCTTCAGAATGGCACAGTACTACCAGACTGTGCAGAAGGCTGTGTGACTGTCCTAAACAGGAAGTCATCTCTCTTTTCATCAGCAAGACCATTTTCTTCTCTCTTATCGCATATTTTATTTTTATTTCCTTTAAAGGCAGTGTTTTGTCTAATGTTTTTATGATAGGTCATCCATAGTTATTATGCAAAAGGAAAACCATAATTTGCTCACTTTTACAGGCAAAAAGGTACAATCTGTTTTTAACTTGCTAAAATGTGTTTTTTTTATGCATTAAAGGAAAAATATCTCAGTTAGCAAGGCAGGTCACTAATGTGAAATACCTTATTTCCCCAAAACAATGAGTAAAGGATTTTTGTAGGACCCTTCAAAGACAACTTAGTAGTTAATACATCTTTTTGTGTCTGTGCCTATTCATGTTATGCACATGTGAACACCAATATAATATAAGGAAAAAGAATCATATTGGTGAAATCATTAAAAAACTAAATTGTAAAGTAACTTTATCATTGAACTTAGGAAAAATTTATGATAGTCTTCAGGTTAAACAAGTTGAAAATCATAATTTAAAAACTTTGTTTTCCATTATACCTGCTAAAGATTGTTTCTTTTATTATCCAACATTTCCAGCCAGCTGACTTCAGCTCTCCCTAAATCTACAGACATCCTAATTTTGAGCCATTATGTAATGAAAACATTGGCTGCAATTTCCTTAGGTCTACATTTCTTAGTTGCCCTTCTTACTGCAGATCTTTACACTGAAGCTCATGATTGTAATTTGCATAAATGAAATTCATATTTATGAGTACAGATCTTGAAGCAACTGACAGGTGCGAGGTTGTCTGCCATGCCAATTTATTGTTTGTTGTGTGTCGTTTAAAAGAGAACTGCTCTCTGCATTTTAAAGCAGAATACATACTGTGGTTGAATTGGAACCAAAATCTGAAAGTAAATAAAATCTCATTTTCTAGCTTTTCATGTTTATGCTTTTTTATATAATCGTGGAAATGTTGGTGGCAGGAGACTGGTTGAAGGAGCGGTTAAGGGGGCTTTGTGTGTCTGCTAGTGGACTCGAAACATCCACCCCTTTCGTTTTCCTTGCTCTTGTGTTTCAGGGCATGCACGAGCTGTTAGCGCCCATCGTCTTTATTCTCCACTGTGACCACCAAGCTTTTCTCCATGCCAGTGAGTCTGCACAACCAAGGCAAGTTTTTATATAAGCTCCATCTGTTTTTAAGCCCTGCTGTAATCTTTTTTGCCTCAAAATCTTTTCAATCGAAGGCACTTTTGTAAATTGTAAACATTTGGTTGTGTTTCATGTGGCTGATTGTTAATTCCACTTCATAGTTGTAATCCCAGTGCAACTATGGGCAAATTTGGAAACATAAATATCTTCACAAATCTTAAAAAGAGGCATAATTAATGAATCAAGAAGAGGAAATTTTTGTTGTAGTGGCAAAGTGTTTAAGACTGATAGTATTCATACGTACCATCCTCTGATGACCCATTCTTTTACCGCAAGCTGCATGGGAACCTTACCTGTGAGGTATCGCTGCAGGTTTGACTCGGTTCAGTTCATAAGAGAACAGTACTGCAAAGCACTCAAGTCTATAACTAAACAAAAATGTGTTTGAGATACATTAATTTGTTCATTCCATCAAATAACTGTAGTGATTGTATTTAACTTCAACTAAATGTTAGCAGTTATTTTCTAACTTAAGATACCATAACTGATGAGCCATAGAGGCAGCCAGGAAGCATCTTGGGAAAGAGGGCTTTAGGATTATAGAACTTTGTCAGGAATATCCCACAGGCTGGCCCATCTATTTGCAGAAAAGAGAAAATAATCATATAATATCTTTATTAATCAAATGTAGCCATCCATTTGCTGAACATATACTCAAACTTCTGTTAACTTTTCTTTACTATATTATACGTTAGTATTTTCTAGTTTCTTTTGAGTTCTTTAATCATACTGAGTTTACTGGATCTGATTATAGTAGCCATATCTTAATTGCCTTTGTTTAGTTATTCTAAAGAATGATAAAGATGAAGTTAGCATCAGATCCTGTTTTCATGTCAGCCTCACCTTTTTAAAACCATGTATGTGGAACATACTTCACAGCACAGTACCAGTGATTGAAAATAGCTTTTAAATGAGTTGGACATGCTTCTTTAGCTGTTTCAGTTCACTGAAATGTACAGGCAACACTAAAATAGATTTGAAAGAGGTACTATCATTGATTAATTGATGTTATAATATAGAAAAAATAGAAACCATGAAAAGAAAATAAATTAATGTTTTGATATGGTATGTTTCACCAGTAACTCTCTATTCTTTTGTTTTAGACAATAGGCAATAGGTTTTGGAGTAACGACATTATTCTAGACCAGGCACATTCAAGAACATGTCACGTTTGTGTTTGGTATTTGGAATAAATAAATATTACTCACTGTGGTACAGACAAAGCAGCTAATTTGTTTCTAATATTTATAGAAAGGATTTCATTTGTTAATGGAGTTCCTCTTTTTATTAAAAATGATTTTTTTCATTTGTTCATTTTGAGAAATTTGGCTTCTTTGTGTAGACTAAAGTAAACTCTGCATCTCCTTCCACTAAAAATTTACACATTTTGATTCCATGTTTTGCTTTTTTAAGTGAGGAAATGAAAACTCTCTTGAACCCCGAGTATCTGGAACATGATGCCTAGTAAGTACAAAAAAATTCTTGCTATTTTAATTTTATACCATATTTATTTTAATGAAGGTTTAACAGCATCATATTATTTTTCTAAATTTTAGTGCGATGTTCTCACAGCTCATGGAAACTGCTGAACCTTGGTTTTCTACTTTCGAGCATGATAATCAAAAGGTAAATCACACGGTACAAATCTGTGCCATGAATTTCAAGGACACATAATGTCAGTAACAACATATGATCAGAGAATAAAAGCCATTATTATTACTATAAAAAAGAAAATATAAAAATACCTATGGAATAAGATTGAATTGGGATCTAAACTGTATCTCTGATAGTACTGGCAGATGTATACAAAGGTAACAGAAACATTTATGTATAAATACAAGGGAACTTGCTTTATATAAGTGTATAATGTCTATGCAATATAACTTTAAAAATTATAAATTTTAATAAGTTCATTGATTTGTCACTATTCTAGTGAGTTGATAGATACATTGTTAACTGAAGTGTATAGATAAATTCTGTATCAAATAGGTCGTTTTACTTATGTATTATTATTAAATTTACACATACAGCATAAAAACCATTTTCCTTACTCTCTTATCCTGTTTTTTATCATTTTATTGTGATATAGTCAACATGCTATAACATTCACTTTTTACATATACAATCCAACGGGTTTTAGTATATTCACAAGGTTGTGCAAATATCCTCACATCTAATTCCAAAACATTTTCATCACCCCAAAAGGAAACCCCGTACCAACAGCAGTCACTTCCCATTCCTTCTTTTCTGGAGTCTCTGCTATTACTAATCTACTTCGTATTTCTACTTGCCTGTCCTGCATATTTCATAGAAGTGGAATTATACAATACTTGGTCTTTTGTGACTGACACCTTTTATTTCACATGTTTTCAGTGTTTGTTCGCATTGTATATATCCATCAGTACTCCTTTCCTTTTCATGGTTGAATAATAGTTCATTGTGTGGATATACCATGTTTTATTTATCCATAAATTGGTTGATGGACATTTGGGTTCGTTTTAATTTTTGCTCGCTATGAATATTGTGTACAGACTTTTGTGTCAACATGTTTTTTGTTCTCTTGGCCTATCTCTAGCAGTGAAATATCTGAATTATCTGTCATTTTAAACAAACATCTATAGTAACTTAGAGGTCATTATGGCACTTCCATTTTTATTACACAGTATTGGAAAAAGTGCAGATTATTCTGGCAAGGGGTATTAAGAGTTTTGGGCATATTATTTTCTGTATGGTTAAGTTCTTTTATCTTGGGATAATTGATTGCATTCTGGTTACAAACTATGTATTACTCAGTCACTTCTTTTCATCTCTTGACAAATGAAATGGATAACTAAGGCTTTTTATGCCTTCGGTCTAGGTCAGGGCGAACTATCGCCTGCAAAAGAATTTGGCCTGCCATCTGTTTTTTTGTATAGCTTGTGACCTAGCATGGCTTTTGCATTATTAAATTGTCAAAAAATATGAAAAGAAGAAGAATATTTTGTGACATATGAAAATAATGTGGAATCCAATTTCCGTGCCCATAAAAGAAGTATTATTGGGGTACAGCAAGCCTATTTATTTACTTATTGTCTATGGCTGCTTGCTCATTACAATAGCAGAGTTGAATAGTGGCAACACACTGTCAAGCCTAAAATATTTCCTGTCTGGCTCTTTACAGAGAAAGTTTGCCAACCCCTAGCCTAGGTGACAAAGTCTTTCTTCAGCAGACATGAACATGTTACCTTCTGTAAGGGTTATTAGAGCAGAAACTTACTGTCACTACTTATGATGACATGTGCTTCGAAACAGTAACTTTATATTCTTGAGAAGTGAATTGATGAAGTCATAGACTGATGTGAACACCCAAATCTAGAGCAGAGGGTGTCTGAATACATTTGAAGAGGGATCATGATTATTTTATACAGTGGTCAGTTTGTATTTTATACAAATACAAATTTGTATAAATTTGTATAAATTATAACTGATTCACCATATCCAAGAAACTGGATGATGAAAATGTGAAGATTGCCATTTTTCAGTTTTACACTCATGTTGACATCACTGAGTCAAGTTCATGAAAATAGCTGAGATAACACAAAGAAAGGCATTCATTTTATCAGTGAACACAAAGATGCTGTGACCTCAGAACATTTTTATTAATTGCTTGCATACATATATCAATGACTAAAATGTTCCTTAAAAGCATGTCTAGTGAATCCCTTTTTAATCCTCTTATTTTTATTCATTCTATTTTCTGATTCTCTCACCTTTTTAACAAAGGAGTTTGAGAAATTAATATACCACTTTCTTATTCAGTTCCAGTTCCTTTAAAAATTCAGTTACATCACATGCTACCTATTTCAGCAGAGGTACTTTTCATAAGACTTTCTTCAAGAAGCAAACAGTGCATTGGTTTACGTAAAGGCATAAAATCATTATCTCATTGCATCCCAGTAACAGTGTGTGGACTGAACACATTTCCTGCTTAATAAAAGGTTAAAAATTTTTCTACCTTATTGGTAGTGTGGTTATTCCATTTGATCATATTCGTTAAATGCAAATAGCATTCTTTATTATGGTAAGCAATACTGATGATAACAAAGCATTTTACAATAATTCTAGCTTCTCTTTTGATTTTTGTTATTTAGCACTTAAGTGATCTGTAACATTATTTCTGAGTTTCTTAAGTGTAAGAGATTTTGTTACAAGTATCCTGCGCACAGGAGAAATATTTTCAAACTCTAGCTTATATAAGCCTCAGACTACACAAGTCTCTATTAGACATTTGAAAAGTGGACCTAGATGTGCCATTGATTAATGACAACTCATTCTAATCAAACTAGAAATTGATTATATGATTTCGTTAAGTTAAACCTTTTTAAACAGGCTAATTTAGGATCAGTTCTCCCAAGGCCAGTGATTGAATCTCTGTGGATGTATGTGTATTCAGAAACCCTTAGCAGACTGGGTACAGTGATCGGTTTTCCATGCAATTGTTAGAAACCCTGGCAGAACTCAGTGCCTCCCCACCCCACACTGTATGGTGTTCAGCTGCACAGGGCTCTTCAGTAAATGAAAAACGACACCACCAAAAGACATAAATGTTAAATTGCTTGTCTTTAAAGGAAACTTGGCTTCAGGATAAACACTGCCTTTGAATGTTAGTAGTATCTTACAGTTGACACAAATCCTTTAAAAAAGTTATTTCAATTTAATCAGTAGGAAAAAATATTAACAAGAATTAAAACTTTTAATAAAATCTTTTTAATTAAAAAATCTAACAAGAATTAAATTTTTTAACTTGAAGAGAATATTGATATTACAAAATTGGAAAAAGATGTCTTAGATGTATATTTCTAATAATAAATGACTGCAATATAGAGGTTTCTTCTCCCATTTATATAGATTAACACAAACTAATCGAATAACAAAAATTAATATGGACTTACATTCTTCAGACCTAAAGACCGTAGGGCAGACATGTAGGAAGTACAAAGGACTGCATTTCTTTCTGAGACTTGAAATGATCCTGGAAGTTAGATGCAACTCCTTCCAGGAACTTTTTCCTTACCCTAACACATTTCTCCTCTTGCCTATGCTTCTCCTATTGCCTCCTCTCACCACTGGTCTTATGTGGAATTCTAAGTTATTTTCTCTGGAGTCTTCCCCTCGAGACAGACTATGAGGGCTAGAACTTTACCTTATTTTGTACCCCGAATCTGGTCCAGTGATGAAAAGATGTTATTCTAGACATCTCACAGTTTAGGAGGCCAAGAAGTAGTAAAAAAATACTGCAGTAGCAGAGAAGAAGATAATTAAATAGGGCCTTGCACACGGGCCACATCTTTAAATATACTTGGGAGCTCTTCAGTGGAAACATGGGGGTGGGATATTTCAGCTAAAACAATGGCTCCCAGGATCTCTGGAGGTGAGAGCTGAGGCTCACTAACAGATGAAAGAAAGGCCTTATGGACCAGGTTAATAATTTTTCTCTGAGTAAAAAATGATGGGAAGGTAGTAAAATGTTTAAGGAGGGCAATTTGGAATGCCTAATACCTGCTTCAGATATATGTCACCAGGCATTTTGGAAAATGGATTTAAAGGCAGGCTAAATTAGAGGCAGTGAGACAGACCCATTAGGAAGACAGAAGTAATTAGGGCCCCAATCAGGTTGTTACAGTAAAGCTGCTGACAAGGAGATATATAAAAATCCCCTGAGGAGCTAAAATTGACCAAGTAGGTATTCTGATTAGACAGTGGGTTGAGGTAGGCGTGGGGAAAGGATGAACATGTGTTTGAGCAGAAGATAATAAAGTTAGTTGTGGTCCTCCTGAATTAGACCCTGTTTTGGCAACGTAAGAGTCCTTGCCGAGATTCGAATGCATGGTAGGCACTCAAGAGTTCTAGGTTATGAATACAGATTGGGATGTCTTTGGGAAAAGAGTTTTGGTGGAGGCACTCTGTATGACTGAGGTGACTCAGGGAATTGCATATAAATAGAGAATAAAACCAAGACCAGAACTGTATGGAAAAGCAACATTTGTTTAGCAGAAACAAGAATTTGAGGTAGAGAAGGAAACCGAGGATGAGTGATAGGCAGACAGTCACGACAGTGACGCTGTAAACCCCAGTTTTGGAAGAGGTGGAAATGGAGGACAGTATCAAAAGAACTTAGGTCACCTGGCTGGCGTAGCTCAGTGGATTGAGCTTGGGCCTGGGAACCAAGCAACCATGGTTCGATTCCCAGTCAGGGTACATGCCTGGGTTGCAGGCTAGTTCCCAGCAGGGGACACATGGGAGGCAACCATACACTGATATTTCTCTTCCTTTCTCCTTCCCTTCCCCTCTAAAGATAAATAAAATATTTTAAAAAAAAGAACTTAGGTCAGACATAATATATTCAAGGAAACCATCAGATTTGAGGGAGGAGTTGAAGTTTACATAAAAGCATTACAAGGAGTACAAATGTGTCTTTCTTACTATAGAGCCTGGGAAATGTTGTAGTTGATTCGTGTAAATTATTTAAAAATCAGCTATATTTTGGTCTGGAAAGTTTTTAAATCTTTTCTACTTAGCTATTTAAATTGATCAAAAGACAGGGACTATCTTATTTTCTAGTACTAGTTTCCTTTATTTTCTGACTTTTTATAGTTTTGAGAACTCAAATTAAAAATTTCCACTTACTCCTGGCTGGTGTAGCTCAGTGGATTGAGCACAGGCCTGTGAAACAAAGGATCACTGGTTCGATTCCCAGTCAGGGCACATGCCTGGGTTGCAGGCCAGGTCTTCAGTAGGGGACACATGAGAGGCAACCACACATTAATGTTTCTCTCCCACTCTTTCTCCCTCCCTTCCTCACTCTCTAAAAATAAATAAATAAAATATTTTTTTAAATGTTCACTTACTATTTTTCATGTTTTAGTTTTATGCCATAAGAAATATATTTTAATCTGGACTTGAGTATTCTGTTTAAGTGCTGTAGCTGATTAGATGAACTGGCCGTGGACAAGTAGACTGGAGGCCATCACTACCTCTAGCCAAAGTTGTCTTCTAATATGTAATGTCACAAGAGAAACTGGCCAGGGGAATACAGGTAAAAAATATTTTAGAAGGCATTTTCTGGCCTTTCTGAGCACAGTCATCTATATAACAGTTAGCACATGTTTCCACATTGGAAGCATTTGCAATAAGATAATTAAAGTTCTTATTTAAACTCCCACTGATAAGTGTATTCAGGAATGGTGTCCATATATTTGTTAATTTTATATTGAAATACATGTTCCATTTTTCCTATTTTTAGGGGAAGGAAACATTGATGGCTCCCATCCCCTTTGCTAGACCACAGGACTTAGGGCCAACAGTTGCTATTGTTACCAAAGTCAACCAGATCCAAGATCATCTACTGAAGAAGCATGATATTGAGCTTTACATGCACTTGAACAGACTAGAAATCGCACCACAGATATATGGGTTGTAAGTATTGAAGTATACATTTCAGCTCTACCTAATTATGAGTAATGATGGTTTTCGTATGTCTCAGATCCATAGGTATAAGAGCAAGAACTGTTCGGCTTCATTTCAAATCTCTTTTCTGTCCTGTGTGCCAGGCTCTGCACTCACAGCTTTCATGTACGACCTTTAATCTAATACTCCCACTAAGCCTGCTCACAGAGTGTTACCCATTTGCTACAGAGGAAGAAACTAAGGCTTATACATATTAAACAGTGAAGTCATAATTCAGATCCAAGCAGGATTAGCTCCATAATCTGCAGAGCCCATGAAAAATAAAAATGGGTGGCCTCCTTAAAAAAACAAAACAAGTAAGAGTTTCAAGATGGCAATGGCAGATAACCAAACCAAGCATTTTAAGAAGTACAGGGTAGCACAGATCGTACATACATGGAGCCGGCCCCAAACGGTTCTACAAGATAATCCATGTTCTTTTCATTTTATTGTATAGTCTTCTGTTCCAGCTCAGAAGTGCATTTTGAAAAGTTAGATCAGTGTCCCTCACAGGGAACATGGTATATTAATCTTCAGCGATATAACCTCTGTAACATGCTATGGCAGAAAAATAAGGAGGCAGTCACTTTTGAGATGTGTGTGTGTTTGTATGTGTCTTCATTTGGTGGCTTGTAAAGTGAGTAGGCAAATTACAGGATAACAGTTTTAATATAAATTTGTTGTATGCTACAAACAAAGGATCCTTTATATTGAAACAATAGGGCATTCATATCTGCTGGACAGTTCCTTGGTCGGTACATTCTTCAGACACCTTCCTCAATTAGGCAGAACATGGAAAATTGAAAAGATACCATTGAGACGTGCATAGTAGATGCTCAGTAAATATGACTTCTTTATTCGAATTACAAAGAATCTCAGACAAGTCAAAGGGTTAGGACCAATTCATTTAGTCCAAAGTAAAGAATATCCATGAGTGTTTTCTTTATGTTGTCATGTTTCACAGAGTCATTCACTAATAATAATTCACCTTTCTTTTCTGGAAGTCCTAAACTGTAATTGAAGATGTCTGCTTTCCTCTTTTTAATGATGCTTGTTCGTTTCTGTGACATAAGCTTGACTTCAGCATCTGAGAGCAGCTCCATCATTCCCACTGGAAATAAGAAAGCTATGGGTAATGTGGGTATTGGGCAGCACTCTAGGTTGTTAACGAATTGCCATTTACATTTATTAGTCTAGCTAGTAAGTTTCTGTTTACAGGCATAAAAGGTTATTTTAAAAGAAGTAGTGGCAAGGTTAAGAGTTAAATTCTGTTTCTCTCTGCTGTGCATTTAAAAAAATTGGTTTATTTAAATACAAAACCCCATTTTACACCCTCAAAATTGTTTTCTGAAGTCTAGAAATTGGCCTTAAATATTGGGTACAGTAATTAATGTTGAACATATTTATCATTTCTTTGAAATGCTTTGTTCTTCACAACCTTTTGTCTGAACTGGTGCTTTATGCTGCCATGGCGGCAGAATGGACTTGGGCACAGTGGTTTATACCCATTGTGTCTCTTTCCATCAGCTCTCGCTCCATCATAGTGATTCATAGAGGTTCTTGGACTACAGACCAGCACCTTCCCAGTGGAAACTCCATGGTGCACGATACAATTACTCTTAATCTTTTCCACTGTGATTTGTAGCAGTACTAACAATACCAAGGCATTCAGTGACCTTGGCTGACTTATTTATCCCATTTTTTGTGTAAGGTCTCATCTGCATTATCTAAAAATGTGTATGTTTTTAATCTTTGAAGAAGTTACTCATTCTCTTAATTGGCCTGTACTACATTTTATAAGTACAGTGGTTTTATGTACTGGCTTCACTTTTTAAATTTGATTTTATCATTTCTAATAGTTGGGGCACATGAAAGTTGATTTTGTTTTCCTATTTCTTTATGCTACCTTAAGCTGTTACTGCTCATCTTCATATTTGCCACTGATCACTGTTCTAATCCTTGGGAACAAAGAGCAATATTAGTATAATACAGAATAGCAGTTAGAAGCACGGGGTTTGAAATAAAGCAGGCCTGTTTGCCCACTTTGAGTCTTGTTTTCTTCATCTAATAACATGGAGATTTAAAGTAATGCTATCTACTTGATAGAATGAAATTATAATGTACAAAAATCACAGTGCTGAGTATGTAGTGAACGATCTATATCTATATCTATATATATCACGTGCCTTTCTTATCTTTATCTGTTATCACCATTACTTAATTAGGATATCATGGCTCTGTGAACGTGATGAACTGTGTGATTCATGAACCCTTCCAGCTCTGGCTCTGGCTTTCTATATTTTCTTCATTAAAGAATATGGGCCACATATAGATGGAAATGTAATAGCCATCCTTTTAGACCAGTACTTCCAAAGAGATAGTATAGAAGTTGAGAGTAAACTTTTAGAAACAAATCATAGTAATTTGGCACAATAATTTCATGTCCACAAACCTAATTAATATTGTATCTCATTGAAATGAATTGAAATACTTTGTTTTATTCTTTAAATAGTTACTGACACTACTCTCTTCTGGAAGAAACTTGGTAATTTAGGCTATATTCAATATTAATAAGTATAAAAATAATTATTACATTTTGAGTGAATTATGTGGACAAATATAATCAATTTTCAGTTAATGAAACCCACTCTTCCTCAAGGTGATACCAGAATCCATAATTGTATCATCTAAAATATGGTTTTTTTTTTTGCCGTGGCCGGGTAGCTCAGTTGGTTTGAGCATCATCCTGATACACCAGGGTTGTGGGTTTGATCCCTGGTCAGGACACATAGAAGAAATCAAGCAATGAATGCATAAATGATAGAATGACAAATCAATTTCTCTCTTTCAAATCAATAAATAAAAATTTAAGTACATAAATCCAATGTGCTTTTGCATGCCAGCTGTTTTTGATAGAATTTTAATTTTCAAAAAAATATTTCCTTTTATACTAAAATGTTCTGACAAAATTAATAACAGTGTGATAAAAGTGTCAATAACGAATGCACCAATGGAAAAACATCAGTGTCAATGATTTGTTTAGAAAGGGTAGGAAATCGTAAATATATGTTCACGTGGTAGGGAATGTGTTAGCAAAATGAAATTTGTACCGAGTCTAGGTTTCTAATTTTAATCAGTCTTAAGCAGTTGCATGGTGCATTAAAATTTACTGCTTTCTAATATGATTATAATTATCATTTATGAAAAGGTTTCACAATTTAGTCCACTTTCAGAAGTAGTTTTTGTTCTGGTTTTTATAAGAGAATACATGTGAGAGTCTCTTGAAGTAGCAGATGTGCCACAGTAAACTTATTTGTTGCATTTGTCAATAAAGGCAACAAAATTAGAATAATTAGTTTAAAATGTTTATTGTACTAGAACTGCCTAAAGTTATTTCAAATTAGCTTATCTTAATTTTAAATAAATTGATGATACTTACCTTGAAACATGGAAATAAGTATCCATGATCTGGAGTGTTGTGCAATAACTTGCTTATTAATGTTGTTATTTTACGTGTATACGAGCTTCATTCGCTGGATAATAGGGGCCGATTTTTTTGTTAAAAAATGTTAAATCAACTTACTATTTAGGTTACACAAAGTTATTTTGAAATTAAGTATTCAATATTTTATAAGTAAAAGTATAAAAATAATATTTTCTAAAAATAATTTACACTACATTTTTCATTAGCCTTGTGAAAGATTATTCCCGTTCCACTTAGAATGAAGTTTCTCTTGCTGTAATTCAGATAATTAACTCTTCGGTCGTCTTCTGTTTGCCCCATTAGATGTGTATCGTACGTTTAAAACCACGTCCTGTGGGGGCGTCACCGCACGCTGCACGTTTCCAAAGTGAAGCGTTAGCGGCGTCTGTCCCAATGTTCCTGGGTAGTTTCTGAGAGCCATGATAATTTAATCTTTCTTTTACTATGAGAATAGGCAGCACCTTGGGGTTATTTTTGTAAAAAACCTTCTAAAATATTCGTGTCATATTTTTGTCCCTGAGTACATATTTGTTGCAAGTCCAAAAGAGCCTCAATCATAGCAGATTCAATATAAAGCTTCCATACTGTTTTTACTTAATACTGTTTCCAGAGAGACCAAAAATTGAAGTGTAAAAGTAACAATTTTTGCCAGTCCAGAATAACTGTATTTTATTATTACCTTAAATATATTGAATCTATATATTTTCAACCACATTTTATACTTTGGTATAAATAGAGTACGTAATAAGCATCTGTGGGGTATGCAGTTAATGTCACTTTTGAGGAAAGACCCTCATAACACACTTGGGCTTTGACATCCTTAAATTATGAGCTCCGTAAAACACTCATGGGATAAATTTCATGTCTCCCAAAGGGTTTTTATACATCATCTGTTTCCCTGATTTTCTATTTTCTGGATTAGCATTTCTTTCATTGTGGTGTTTTATAATAATATAATTAGGGAAGTTTCTGGTCATTGATTAAGTAATCTGCTTAATTTGGTGATGTAATTTTAAAATATTCTAACACATATCACAATGTTATTATATATGACTACTAAGTTTTTTAATACTATATTCGAATTATAAACATATGGTAAAAGACGTAAGTCTCAGTCACTGAAGTCATTATAATTACCTACCTAAAAAATTCTCTGAACAATTTAAGCAAAAAGCCTCCTATTCTAAGCACAGGTAGTGGTTGAAATATTCTTTTCTTTTCCATGAGCTTTATGTTGTACGTGAAATGTGAAAACCAGAGTGAGGGATTAGAAGGAGAAGATCTAATGATACTTTGTCACTGTACCCCACTGGGTATTCCCCCGGAATTACTCCTTTTGAAAAAGCTGAGTATTTACCTTTCTGTATGAAGAATGATCATGACGAAGAAGTATGGGGAAGAATGATAAATTATTTGAAATAATGATTAATAATTGTCAATATTTATTGAGTGTTTTCTGTGGGCTAAGATTATACTGATGGCTCTA